TTGTTAATCTCTGCCCAAAAAAAAAAAAACTTAAAAAGAATCTCATTAATCAATTTACCATATTTTTTTGATTCTCAATGCATAATAGATAGATATAACTTTGAAATAATTTTCTATAAAACGATATTTATTTTGAAAATAAGGTGATGGTATGTTCATTGTAAAATCTCTATGTATATTACTTTTATAAGCTAAGTTGCAAATCGCCAAGATATACAATTTTATATAAAGCCAAGAACAAAAATCCATAAACACAACAACATTAAATTGATAATTACAATTGTTGAATAATAATAATAATAATTAATATCATTATTATTAAAATCAGAAAGCATTAAAATACTAAATAAAGCAAAAAAAAAAAGGGTAGCCGCGAGTGTGAACGACGGATCTGGTCAACGCCGTCTGACCACGCCCTTTAGGTAAATGCGGACAAATCTGAAAACCGAAAGGGTCAGAAGAGTAATTTTTACCCCAACCCACTCAAAATCTCTGTTTCCTTATCATTATTATTACTATTTAATTATTTAACAAATAAAGGGAAAATCCCTTTATTTTCTGTGACATAAATAAACTTGTATATATATATATATATATTCTACTGACCCTCATTTTTCCATTATCCCTCAAACAAAGCACAATCACAAAACACGCAGTAGATAGATGAGAACAAGGCGAGGGCTATGCTATCCTCGACTGCCCAACATGTGTGCCGTGAATAATCGGAGGAGGAAGCCGCCGGCGGCCTCCGGACAACAACCTGGATGCCGGAAAAGGATGAGGGCCTCGCCGGAAGACGGTGGAGGATGTGATTTGTTCGAAGCCTTGCCGGACGATATCGTCCTCTGTGTTCTCTGCAAACTCAGCTCCACCGCCGGCTGCCCCGCCGATTTCATCAACCTTCTCATGACGTATGATTTCTTTTCCTTTTTTTTTAAAAAATTTCCAATTGTTTGTTTTAAAAATTTTAAAATCAGAAGATTTCCACATTCCACATTGAAGGGAGTAAGTGAATATTGTGTTCTTTTTGGTTATAAACATTGAATCTTTCTTTTTTTTTTCTATTTTTGTTCCCAAAATTAAAGTTTTGCTTTTTTTTTTTTGGTTGAATCTATATTTACTTTTTGCTTGTTTATTTATCTAATGTTAAATAATTGGATGAACAGATGCAAGAGGTTTAATAGATTAGGGCTCCATTCTCTGGTGTTATCCAAAGCCTGTGAGAAGATGTTGGCAGTGAAGGCCCAAAACTGGTCCGAGTCGGCTCATCGATTCCTCAAACTCTGCGCCGATTCCGGCAGCGTCGAGGCTTGCTACACTCTTGGCATGGTTAGTAATTTTTTTTTATATTTTTATCTTGAAATTATTTTGAAATTTGTAAGACATATATAGGTTTTCATAAGTAAATATGAGTGCAAGTTCCAATTGTTAAGCCGAGAGATGTTATTTTATTTAAAATCCGAAGAAAAATGAAAGAAGTTTTGACTGGGTTAACTTACCGGAAACAGATTCGATTCTACTGCCTGCAAAACCGGGGGAGCGGCGCATCCCTCATGGCCAAGGCCGCGATCGCCTCTCACGCGCCGGCCCTCTACTCTCTCGCCGTCATCCAGTTCAACGGCAGCGGCGGCTCCAAGAACGACAAGGACCTCCGCGCCGGCGTCGCCCTCTGCGCCCGCGCCGCCGTCCTCGGCCACGTCGACGCCCTCCGGGAGCTCGGCCACTGCCTCCAGGACGGCTACGGCGTCCGCCGAAACGTCGCCGAGGGCCGGCGCTTCCTGGTCAAGGCCAACGCCCGCGAGCTCGCTCTCGTCCTCGTCGCCCACCCCTCCGCCGTCGTCCCCCGCTCCTGGCTCACCTGCAACCACAACCGCCAACCGGCCTCCGCCG